CTCACTAATTTCATGTCGACCTTTGGAATTCCTAAAGTCATTCAGTCCGATCAAGGTTCGAACTTCATGTCGAAACAGTTCTCAAAAGCCCTGCGTCAACTTCGAGTAAATCACAATATTTCTAGCGCTTATCATCCGCAGAGTCAAGGAGTCCTTGAGAGGTTTCATCAAACCCTGAAGTCCCTTTTAAGGTCATATTGTGTGGAACTCGATGCAGATTGGGAGGAAGGTCTGCCATGGATGTTGTTAGCGATACGTGAGGTAATTCAAGAAAGTCTTGGGTTTAGCCCAAATGAATTAGTGTTCGGACATGTGGTGAGAGGACCTACGGCTGTGTTAGCTGAGGAGTGGCGTTTACCTAAACTGTCTGAAAACCTTTCGGATTATGTGAGCGGATTTCGGCGTAGATTATATGAGGCAAGAGCTCTCGCTAAAAAGAAGTTGAGTAAGACTCAACTAAAGATGCGACAACGCTTTGATAGGAAAGCTAAGTTAAGAGAATTTCAGGTGGGTGATCAAGTACTTGCTTTGCTGTCCCTACCTGCTAATCCGTTTCAAGCTAAATTTACAGGCCCTTACAGTGTAGTTAAACGTCTTTCTGATAACAATTATCTGTTGAATACTCCTGACCGGAGAAAAAAAGTACAAGTTTGTCACAGTAACCTGTTGAAATTGTATACAGCTCCTGTTCGTTCTGTCAATGTGGTAAACCTTTGTGACTCTCTTTCAGAATCATCTCCTCTCTCACACAAAACGAGTGGGTATTCTTTGGAGAATGCTGATGAGGACGAGGGTTTTCTTTCTCGAGAAAAAGTTGACGGGCGACTGAAAAACTCTGAGATTCTTCTTAATCTGTCCTCTCATCTTTCTTATCTGACAGAGAAGGAGAGGAGTGATGTCACTGAGTTGGTGATGTCATTTCCCTCTCTTTTCCGTGATGTTCCTGGTCGTACTTCTATCATAGAACATGATATCGACGTAGGAGCCTCGTGTCCTGTTAAACAGAACGGATATCGAGTCAATCCTTTTAAAAGAGATTTGCTGAAACAAGAGGTGAACTATCTACTTGCTCATGATCTGGCTGAATGTAGTTTTAGTTCGTGGAGTTCCCCTTGTGTTTTAGTAAATAAACCTGATGGATCATATCGCTTCTGCACAGATTATCGAAAACTCAACTCTGTGACAAAGCCGGACTGCTTCCCGTTACCTCGAATTGATGATTGCGTCGATCATGTTGGCTCTGCCTGTTATGTCAGCAAATTCGACCTCTTGAAGGGGTATTGGCAGGTGCCTTTGACTAGTCGGGCGAAAGAATTATCTGCTTTCGTTACGCCTGATGCTTTCCTACAGTATACGGTTATGCCTTTCGGGGTTCGAAATGCACCTGCGACTTTTCAGCGACTCGTAAACCGTATACTGTATGGAATGTCAGGATGTGAGGCATATCTTGACGACATTGTGTTGTATAGTTCATCTTGGTCTGAACATCTTGACCAGATCAAAGAACTGTTTTCTCGTTTAGCCAAAGCTAATCTTACGGTTAATCTCGCTAAGTCCGAATTCGCGAAGGCAACCGTTACCTATTTAGGTAAGATAGTGGGAAATGGTTGTGTAAGACCCATTGAGACTAAGGTCGAAGCTATCTGTAATTTTCCCGCTCCCACCACTCGTCGTGAACTCCGACGGTTCCTTGGAATGGTGGGATATTATCGGAGTTTTTGCGAAAATTTTGCCAATGTAGTTTCACCTCTTACTGATTTATTGAGTCCGAAGTTGTCTTTCCAGTGGACTGAACCTTGTCAGCAAGCTTTCGAAAATTGCAAGGCTTTGCTGGCATGTGCCCCTGTTTTAACAGCTCCAAACTTTGCCAAGCCTTTTATTCTTGCAATAGATGCAAGTGCTTGTGGTACGGGTGCTGTTCTCCTGCAGGAGGACTCGAACCAGGTTCAACATCCTGTAAGTTATTTTTCTAAGAAACTTAACCGACATCAACAGGTATATTCTACCATTGAGAAAGAAGCTCTTGCTCTAGTGTTGGCTGTTCAACATTTTGAAATATATCTAGGATCAATTTCTGCACCGATTATTATCTATACGGATCATAATCCTTTGGTCTTTTTGAATCGGATGAGAAATAGAAATCAGCGACTCATGCGATGGAGTCTTATCTTACAACCTTTCCATCTCGAGATCAAACATATTCGAGGAAAAGACAACGTTATAGCTGACGCACTGTCTAGAGTGTAATGTAATTTTTGTATTGTCCGTTCTTTTCTTTGCATCTCTAGGGCCCAGAGGTGTTGAGGAATGAAGAGAAGACGACATACCTCTAGAGCACCAGAACTTTTATTGTGTTTGTTCTGGGTAGTGCTTAACTGTCTTTTCCCTTTGTTTTTGTTTTAGATTCGTTGCCGAATCTTTTTTTTTTGTAGGGAGGTGTTACGACCCTGCGTTTCCCTTGCTCGCCTGCTGGGGGCGGTGTTCTTCAGGAGGGCGTGGGAGATTGCACACTCCTGTTACCTGCTCTCGGTTTGATTGTGGAGAGGATAAAACCTTGGATCCTACCCTCTCCACACCACTTCGTCCAGGGGATTGGCAGCCTCTGGAGGAGTCACTTGTTTTGCGACATTTATATTTGTTTACAGACCATACCAACCTTTTCTTATTTCCCATTTGGATTATGATTTTGTCCCCTTATGATTGTGAACCCTAGACTTTGTTATCTTAAGTTATTTACACTTTTGTTGTAAGCTAATAAAAAACTTCTTGCAAGTAATTTTCTTGTACTTGTATCCCTTTATGTGCGGTCAAAACGAGCTGGCCGTAACAACGTGAACTGGACCACATCTCATCATAAATTTTGCTCATTTAAATAATAGTGTGTGTATATATATATATATATATATATATATATATATATAGGCTAATTGCGCAGCTCCCCCTGTCAATGATCTAGCACCCCCTCAGCACCTGCGTTAAAAATTATCTGGCGCCGCCCCTGGTTGTAACACAACGAGAGAAGATCTAAATGCAGTTTATTGGAAGCACAATCCAAAATTGTAGTCCATTAAACAGGCAGAAGATCAGAGCACAGTGAATCAGTCCAATCAAACAAACCAATCCAGAAACGAGAAAACCAGCGAAATAGAAAACAGGAGAAACGCTCAGTAACGCTGACAAGACAAGACAAGACAAGACGATAACCAACTGAACAGGAATAAACAGGCAGAGACACACGAGGTGATGAGGTGATGATGAGGAACCAAGCGTGCCGCACAAGCCCTCAAAAGTGAAGCCAAAACGTCTCGATCGCCCCCCGGTGACCGGTCCTAGTATAGCTCATAAGCCCCGCCTCCCCATGTTATTCAACGGGACGTGAGACCAACTAAATAATTAAATTACACTTCACATATCTTTTTTCTAAAGATAGTTTCTGTCATTTACTGTAGTTTCTATCACGTTGATGTAATTTCAAGTGTTTGTTTTTAAAATAAGTTCGTTTTTAGTTAGTTATTTGATGCTATAAAAACGGTGCTGTGACATCATGATTGACAGCTGTGATTGACAGGCTCTCTGTGCGAAGTAGTCACTGAAGCACCAACGGACTTTTTTTCATAATGTTGACTATGTGGTCAGTGGTTGTATTTACCTTATTTTAATGAGGTACTGCAATCAGCAGACATCATTGTAGAGGAACGGAGCAGACAAGGCCACTTAAGAAAAGTGCGGGGCGTGTGCTTGCGATTGATTCAACGTGAGTGAGGGCGGGGCCTTGATTTCGCGGCTTTACTTCCTGCTCACGACTGCGCATGACTGGTCCCGAAAACGCTACTGCGCAGACTCAAGTTCCAATATGTCAGCGCCATATCGGGACTCTGGCGGCTTCAGTTCTCTCCAATGGAAAAGAGCGAAGGGGCGTCGTCCATCTTTTTTTACAGTCTATGTGAGGAACAGATGCACATGATTGATGACAAACACAAAGCACTGTGGGAAATTGAGTCCATGACAGCGGTGGATCGAGCGGTTAGAGTTCCCTCTGCTGGCGAGTGAGGAATCTGCACATCAGAACTATATTCTGTGGTTTCACTCACTGTGAAGGATAATTACGGGAATTTGGCCTTTGTGTTTCCTTATATTTATACTCCTGTGAAACATTCAGTCACCCTGGTGTGCTAAAAAAATAATTTATTTCATAATGTGATTCCCCACCACTTTCAATTATTTTACTTCAATTAATGTTTTTTTTTGTTGGTTTTTGAGATTTTTTTTTGAATGAAAGATCAAAAGCATAAACAATGCAGACTTATTCTTACAGCCATCTTTGACCATATTTACCAAGGGTGCAAAAAAATTCTAAACACAACTGTATGCATATACTAGACACACACACACACACATTATATAAGCACAAACTTTTATGTTAGATGCAATTAATCGATTAATAGAACACTACATTTAATACAGAAATTGTTCCATATAAATATGTTCTAATTTATATAAAAAATATTGCATCTTAATTATGACGGCATTTGTTATTGTAAGTCATTTACATTCATTCATTTAGGTTGATACAGTTAAAATATAAAATCATATTTTTGATAATAATGTTTTATAATACAGGCTAATATTGTCTAAAACCAGTTAACTGAAAATGTTACCATCAAGCACACACACACACACACACACACACACACACACACACACACACACACACACACACACACATATATATATATATATAATGTAAATTACACTGACAGACCTGTTCAGCATTATATAATATATGTTTTAGATATTTTTAATGCATTTTGATGAAAGTTATTATAAAGTGTTACCAGATCTTGAACTGATCATCATGTGTTTTCTCTCTTCAGTCTCCGCTGGTCCTTTAAGAGTCTCCTCCTCCTCCTCCTCCTCTCCTGTATTTTTAGCTGATGAAGCCTCTTCTTCAGTTGAACAACACACACACACACACACACACATGCAGTATGAGTCTCATAATTTCCAAGCCTCTCTAATCCATCCCATGATATTTTGATCAGAAACATCTCTGTCTTTGGGGAAAAAGCTGCAGTGGATGCTGGAAAACACCAGAAGCATCATCATCATCATCTTCAGCATCCACATCGAGGTGCAACATGATCCTGATGGATTTCTGAGACATTTCAAGCGCCATGGACGAAACTCAATCGATTTAACCGCAACTGACGGGTTTGAAAGGGTCTGATCATCAAGATCCCCCAAGACGGACGCGACCGTGGAGCATCGAGGAAAAAAACGGGTCAATCGGGACAGAGACCAGATGCCCAACATGGAGAGGGGCAAACCTGCCACTTACACGGGCGACAAGAAGGCAAAGATGGCTGCAAAAACCAATAAGAAGTGGGTAAGACTGGCCACCGTGTTCGCGTATGTTTTATCCGTGTCTCTGGCTGCGATCATCCTGGCCATTTACTACAGTCTCATATGGAAACCCGCCGGAAGCAATAGTACAAAACCCAACTCTCCATTCAATGACACCAACAGCAACATCTCCGCGATCAGCAACGGGACGCAGAGCAACAGCAGCGCGTCCGCGGATCTGATCCACTTCAACACCACCGGCTCCAACCGGACAGCGAGGTCGCTTTCCAAAAGTGCGCAGTCCCAGTCCGGCGATTTCTACAGATACACCATGCCTACAGAGAGCTCAAAAGCCGCCGCAGAAACACAGTCTTCCCGGAGAGATCACCACCAGACCCGCGCCGGCGGAGACGCGCGCCAGGACACGCGCAGGGACGAGGACGGCTTTGGGGGAAGAACACAAACTCAGTTAGTGTCTGACACGGATAACAAGCACAGAAAGAACTAAGAGAAGCCTTGAGACTTGAGATGTTGGACAGGAGGAGGCCGGGAGCGCGGACTCTCGGACACAAACGCATATAGCAGAGGCTAATACGATCAAATATACTAATCTGTCCTTTTCGTTTCGCCTTAATACTCGGCATCTCCTTGGTGGACGTTTGCAGTGTAATGGGCTTTAACTTTATATCCTCGGAGCGTATAGTCCAAAAATCACCGGCTGGCCTGTCATCCAATTGTATAGGAATCATTCATCCGAACCGGAGACTGTCCATTGCGCGCAATGCCTTGATTTGAACAGCCATGTTTATGGGGTCGGGAAGGGTCAAGCTTTTAAAATAACAACACTAAAAGCTTGCATGAATTACCTGTTAACCAATTAATCGGGATTCTTATGTTTAGAGGAACCTGTGTGTCGATGCTCAGGTATGTGCAAATAATATCCATGTAAATGTACTGTTTAGTAATGTACATACATGCTATGGAAACATTTCGCATCACTCGATCATTTTTACAGCAAATAATGTACTATAGGTGTAGAATACATCACTCTAATGGTAAATAAACTCTAATGTAAAAGTACAAACACTCATTTCCTTCGTTAAAGATTGGATGAGGGGTTCACATGCACTTCTGTTCTGGGCACATCAATCACTTACACTAGATTATAACACTCGTAATCAAATGGCCATTTAGTCAAGGTGAGCACACTGTTTAATCCTGGATTAACCTGTAATCAGATATTAAAATCAATGTGTTTTGTGGAACTTTGAGCAGATTAGACCATGGACTAGTGTGTATGCATGATTCATATTCATAATAGAGAATTTATTGGTTGTATTCAGGTCAAAAACAACAACTCATTTCCGGTCTCTAGTGTCTTCTGGCCTCGTAGTGACCCGCACACACAGTCCCATCCGTCTACCGATCATCGGTCTCGAACACTTATCTATTGATTTATGCATGTTTAGTAGAGCTCTCTCTCTCTACGGTCAAGGCTTATCGATTGTCTTACAGTTCTGGAGTCAAAAGCAGGGATTACACAATCCTGCTCTATTTTCAGCGGCGGCTCGATGACCTGTTACAGCACATGCTGGAAAATATCTGTGCAACTGGAACACCAACCACATATACACTGCGCATCTTCTGGAAAACACCTGTGCAAAACGAACACCTCAATAAGATGTTGCTCTGCGGCTGAGGATGTGTTTAGTGTGTTTACAGCAGGAAAAGCATCACTTTTAAAGCACACTTTTAGAAATCATAATACGGGAATAATATATGCTTAAGTGCGAACTGAATGTAATGTTTTCAGACACTTAATTGCATGCTATTTGCAATTAAATGAAAATGTATTATAGTTTAAATTTATATTAAATGCAATTATTTGAACTTGAAAAGTGCTTTTGACACTTAAGTACATCTTTATATGCAATTTCAGAATTACTTCCAAAGTTTACTGCTTCAAGCATTTATGCTTTTATGTAATTTCTATTAAAACTTGTATGTCATGCATTTAAATATAGTTGCAATTGCATGCTTGTAATGAAGTTGCAATTTAAAACCTTTAAATGTAATTTTGAAACATACTACATGTGCTTTAGTATTAAAGTTAGCACATCAAAATAAGTGTACTTCTTTAAAGCATGACAAAAGATTATTAAAACATAATGATTTTAAATGTACATTAAAGTAAAACTTTTAAACTTAAGAAACAGTCATGAAAGTGAACTCTCTTTAATTGCATTATTATTATATTATAGAGTTTTTGGTAACAATTTATTTTAAGGTGCCAGTTACGTTACTACATGTACTCACTATAGTAATAACAGTAAATTATGCACAACTACAAGTAACAAAACCAAAAATCTGCCTTTAAAACGATTAACCTGTAAACAAGATGTTGTGAACTTTCTCTGATTCGTCCTGTGACTGAACACAATTGATTCAGCAGCTGTGGGAACAAATCAATGTTGACTCGTTTAAATGTCAGTTTTTAGTGTGCAAAACCCCCTTGAGATTCAATTATTAGACTTGTTTACCAAGTCCGTCCTCTCTAGAACTGCTGACAGTCATGTGATGAAACCTCCAGCACGACTGAAGATGTGTGTGTGCGTAAAATCCCTCAGATAGACAACGAGCCACATCTGGAGATGAGATGATTTTCCAAATGTCATTTTTACTTGAGAACACCCTAGCAACCATATAGCATCATTGACAGTGTGTTTTGCATGGACAATCACCATGCATTTTCTTCAAAAATGTAAAATTGTAATATTTCTTGAAAGTCTTATTCAAAATGACAAGTTTTTTTATTAGATCTCAAATGTGCATGTTACTCAAAAAGAAGCACATATGCATATTATCAATTGAAATATTTCATACAAGTGCGAATGCAAACCAAAAATTTTAAGGGCATGCATGCAAGTTAAATCAGAGGTCTCAACTGGTGGGCCAAAGCTTCGTTCAGATCTATGTTCAACGCAAATAAACAAATACAACTATAACCTTAAAATTATGTATAGCTGCTTACCAAATAAACCATATCTTTTATTGATGCCAAAAGTCATGTGTCCAGTCAAATATTATGATATTTCCTATAATACAAAATTAACCCAATGTTTGTAGTCTGTTCTTTGTGCATTCATAATGTTATTAATATTGCATATTTGGCTTAATCAGTTCATTCCACTATTAATAAACCTCCAGTTTGATGTTAAGGACATGGCTACTTATGTATGATAAACAATGTTGTGTTTGGTCCTCATCCCGAAGCAAACTCCTTCGAGAACCAGTCAAAGCTTGTGTTTGAAAGAAAGTGGAGGATTATGTTAAAGGTTCATAATGGGTTTTTCAAGGATCATCAGTCAGAAATGCATTATTAATCAAGCCGAGAGACAAGTGTTGCTGAAGAGTGCTGTCCCATCCATTACTGATCCTCATTTCCCGTCAGCGTCCGGGACCGGCTTCATCACGGCGTCTTGAGTTCACAGCTGCAGGTGCTCATGATGTAATCTAATGTGTGCCGAGAGACCTGGAGCCATTTTCCAGCGCACTGCAGCACGAGCGAAGACAAGCAGGACCGGGCCAAATCAACACTTATTTCTGGCACTGGAACTAAGTGGATTTTGAGAGGCTTTCTGTCCCATTTCTAGAATAACTGGTGGGATAAGCACCACGGCCTCTTTATAGGGCTGAAAGTCTTGGTTTTACTATAAAAAGCTCTGCAACTGTCCATAATGTAAGTGTCTGTGCTGAAAACCTCGGTAAGATAAAACACCATAAATGAGAGAAATCTTACACAGCCATTTCCAGAAAAGTCGGGATTTTGTAAAATGCAATAAAATCAAGAATCTGTGATTTGTTAATTCTCTTGAACCTTTATTTAACTTACAAAAGTACAAAGAAAGATTTCCAATGTTTTCCCTGACCAACTTAAAGCAACACTAAGTAAGATTTTTTTACCTTAAAATAATGTTTCCAAAATGGTTTCAGTGGTTCATTTAAGCCTAGTTCACACTACATGATTTTAAACCGTCGGGCTGAACTGTGCGGTTCACACTACATGACTTGCTCTCTGTGAAATCAGGAGTGTTCAAGTTGTTGAGCTAGTTCACACCACACGACACAACGTGATTGATCCGCAACAGGAGGTAACGCACTACACGAGTTGACAACAACTCTGTCACCCAACGATTCTATCTTGTCTACAAACCACGTTTTGTCACGAAAAATCACGCGATAAAACAAACCGGAAATGACGTGAAACAGCACGCGCGCCAATACCCAGCGAAGAAGAACACAACACGCGAACATGCCTTGCTCTGATTGGCTGTAGCTCATGACATCACGTGAGCTTGAGTCGCGCGACAGCTCTGGATATCTAGCATGCTAGATATTTTTCTGGGCTCGGCGACGCGTCTGCGAGCGTCTTTGATGCGTTGTTGGCTCTTTCATACTAACAGATTGGCGAGTGTTCATCGCCCGCTAATCTCCCGCGATAACACCCTGACCTGTCGGCGAGCTCAACGATTTGCAAATCGGGCTTAAAATCATGTAGTGTGAACTAGGCTTTAGTCGTAACAGGGTGAAAGGCACTTCTGGATCCTATATCTGCTATAACCACGCTATGTAAGATTGCCAGATCGGGTCGCGTTTAGTTCTAATGAGATATAAGAAAACTACAAATTTGACTTGCTTTATTTAGTTTTTCTTCGTTTCTGATGTCGCAATACATCATACTTTCATGAAATCATGCAACATACTCTAGCTACCTTGTCTGTGGACATTCATTCCAAAGCCGGCGCTGGATAAACAGCGAGTGTGCGTGCGACAGTAGGATGAATTATTTACGACAGCGGTAATGGACAATTCCACTTCCAACCTGTAGGGGGACCGCAGAGGAAAAGTTGCTTGGTGTTGCTTTAATTGCATTTTGAAAATATAAACCTTATTCGTTTGGGAATTGAGGATATTAATTGGTGAAGTTTTTGGTTACTGTCTGATTCTTCTTTTCATGCATTTTTAATAGCAGACAGATCTGGACTGCAGTGTAACGTGTCTAAGAAACAACACATGCATTATGAGGCCTGGCACTGTCTTGCTTCCCTTGAAAGATGTCATCTTAATGGCAGTTTATGTCTCTGTACAATCAGTACCTTTACACACAAGCGTCACCCATGCCGTTTGCACTGATGCACTCCCGCACCATGACAGATGTTTGCTTTTGCATCTGTCACTGATGAAAGTCTGGATGGTCCTGTTGGTCTTTGGGACTGAGAACTAAATGTCTATTTCCATGGACTCATCTGACCACAGCACACATTTCCACTGTGTTTTGGATCATCTGAGATGAGCTTGACGCCGGAGAACCTACGCATTGAACAGAAGTAAAGCTTTCTCTTTGCGTAACCGAGATTCAAGTTGCATTTCTTGATGCAGGATCAGACTGTTAAAGACTCCCTGTAGTCAATCATTTTATCCCTTAAAACTCATCTTTGAACACCAAAATGTAAGCATTTTGTCCTTGAAAAGAAAAAAAATTCTTGAATGTAACTCGACACCCTTCCCTCATTTAGTATTACTACGCGGTTCTATGAATATGCAAATGAGCCCCGCCTCCACTCACTCACTCAGCTCAGAGATCCACTGGTTGACGATCACATGTTGATCTGATTGGTTACAAGGTCGTTTGTGACGTCAGAAACACCAGCGATTTCAAACCGTGTTTTTGAGACTGTCTTTGGTTCACTGCAGTTTTAAGGAGGAAATACTCGACTTATGAATTTACACATGGTTCGTCTTAAAGCATATTGAAAAAAAAAAACACCACTAGACACATAAACAACATTAAAACTTGATTTTCACCACAGGGGGACTTTAAGTGACAACGGTTTTCCAAACTACTCCTGAGCGCATGTGGCTGTATTTAACACAGCCTGATTTAATGCCTTGCCATACGTGTACTGAGATATCTCTGGATTCCTGTAATATTTTCACAATATTCTGTATGGTAAATGGTGAAAGACCTGAATTCTTTGCAATCGTTTATTGAGAAATGTGATTTTTGAGCTGTTAAGACTATTCCCTCATGAAATTCTTCCCATCTTTTATACCCAATCATGATACCCTCACCTTTTTACCAATTTACATGCTTACTGTGGACTGTTTCCGAACAGTTTAACTTCAATACATGTGAAATGCATTAGTGATGTTTACACCAAAGAATCAGTGCTCGTGATGAAATTGAACTTCCGTTGCCTTTATATTGCCTACTACATCAATGCTCAATGGTGATGTTTCACTCTTGTTTAATGCACTTGCATCTTTCGCAAGACACGAGTATAACATTTGACCAAACACAAGAAGATTCAGCTACCTTAATCTAACATATAAATCATCATCATGAGTCACGTGACGGCCCCGCTGCCGGTCCCCGAGGATGATGCCGTCCCCGAGCATGCCTGCTGGAAAAGGGTAATTAAAAGAGTAACAGAAGACAAAGCTGTGTTTGAAGAGAACAGGGAGTGATTTCCAGAGCAACCGGCCGATGGGAGGCTTTTAAAAATAATAAGACACTAATCCCAAAAGATCCTCTATTAAGCAGAACGCAGAGGTCTGAGGCAGCGCTGCGTGTTCAAAACAACACATGTTTTTTTGGTATCTGTTACACAAATGTAATTTCCGCTGGCGTGAGTTATTTGACTTCTACTGTCAGTAACTTTCCACAGCAATGATTGCTTTAGCACGTGAAAATATGCCCGAGTTAATCGACTTGCATCAAAATAATAAATGATCAAATGTGTGATAAGCTACGCCCCCTTTAATGGATCAGGTGAGAGAAGACGCTCAAACCAACGAAAGGCTGGAAAATAATAATAATATTAAAAACTCATTTTAATCTTGTATGCATTTTTTAAATGCTATGGGGTTGCCTTCTTTTACTTATTATAAATGTTCTGTTTTATTTTATTTTTTTTTAGGTCTTTTTGGTTTGCATTTTTGACATGTTCTGTTTTACTGTGTGTGTGTGTATTTTTGATTTACTTGTGAAGCACTTTGGTCAACATTCATGTTGTTAAAATGTGCTATATAAATAAACTTTGACCTTAATAAGTGGATTGCTAGAAACAAGACAGCTTACCTGAAATAACTCCACAAAATGCAAGAAATTAATTTGCATTAATTCATGCATTTAATGTGTTTCATAGAATGTATACACACACACACAGACACCGGCCACTTTATTAGGAACACCTTGCTAGAGCCAGGTTGGACCCCTTTTTGCCTTCAGAACTGCCTTAATTCTTCATGGCACAGATTCAACAAGGTACTGGACACTTTGCTCAGTGATATTTGTCCATATTGACATGATAGTTGCTGCAGATTTGTCCGCTGCTTTTCCATGATGTGAATCTCCTGTTCCTCCACATCCCAAAGCTGCTCTGGTGAGATCTAGTGACTTTGGAGGTCATTTTTAGTTTAGTGAACTCACCATGTTCAAGAAACCCGTTTGAGATAATTTGAGCTTTGTGACGCGTGTTATTCTGCTGGAAGTGGCCATCAGAAGATGGTCAGCATGAATACTCAGGACGGCTGTGGTGTTTAAACGAGGCTCAGTTGGTAATAAGAGGCCGAAAAGTGTGCCAAGAAAACATCCATTATACCAGTACACCTCCAGCAGCCTGAGCCGCTGATATAAGGCAGGGCGGATCCATGCTTTCATGATGTTTACACCAAATTCTGACCCGGCCATGAGTGTCACAGCAGAAATTCAGACTCATCAGACCAGGCAATGTTTGTACAATCTTATATCGTCCAGTTTGGGGAGTCTGTGTGAATTGTAGCCTCAGTTATCTGTTCAGAGCTAACAGGAGCTACACCGGTGTGTGTGTGTGTTTTCTGCTGCTGTAGCTCGTCTGCTTCAAGGTTTGACGTGTTCAGAGATGCTCTTCTGCAGACCTCGGTTGTGGTTATTTGAGTTATTATTGCCTTTCTATCAGCGGAACCAGTCTGGTCGTTCTCCTCTGACATCAACTAGGCATTTTCACCCACAGAACTGTGAAAATCCCAGTAGATCAGCAGTTCCTGAAATACTCAGACCAGCCCGTCTGGGACAAACAACCATGACACGTTCAAAGTCACTTAAATCATCTATCTTCCCCATTTTGATGCTCAGTTTGAACTTCAGCAGATCGTCTTCACCATGTCTACATGAGTTGCTGTCATGTGATTGGATGATTAGACATTTGCATTAATGAAGTTGAACAGGTGTACCTAATAAAGTGGCCGGTGAGTCATATATATATACATACACATGTATTCATGTGTGTGTGTGTGTGTGTGTATATATATATATATATATATGTGTGTGTGTGTGTGAGTTCATGCACGCAAGTAAAAGGTCCATTATATCCTTCTATGGTAAAACAGGACATGGACCAGAATAGAGGCTTAATCAACAGGGAATTGAAGAGAATTCAGTGTATTTTTAATGGACTGCAGTGCAAAATATATTTATATGTATAAACCTTATATCACTTCTCTAACAAACTCAAACCACAAAAACATTCTTAATGTGAAACCCTAATATTGTGACATTTGAATGTAATAAAATGTATTTATAGGTCATTCAATTTAATATCTAATATGCCTTTTAAAGGTAGCTATTGATGGTATAAATGCATAAATATAAAGGTGTGTTGCATGTATAATTTTAGCATTTAACAACTAAATTAATCATAACTGATGATTGTTATGATAAAAAAACAACAATTTGAGCAGTGGAATCAGTGCAAGCATCACAGCACAGGGCTGGTAAAAGTTTTTAATGCTTATTATTATTATTTAACATTCATTTCAAAACCAAATGAACAAAATATTTAATAAAAGTGTCAGCAAAATATAAAAATCAAATCTTAGTCACTTTAAACATTAAATCCTTCATGTGTTCTTCAAACCGTGACGTTTAAACACTGAAATGTTGTGAAGATGAACATCAGTTTGATGATAATTCATTGCCACATAAAGTACAATTATACCTGCTAAACTAGCAAATGCTAATGTTCAGCTAGTAAACATTCTTGCAGTCTTTTGTAAAACAAAATAATTGAATCTGAAAGGACTGTAAACGTCCTTAATGTTGAATTAGATAATAAAACCAAACAAAAGGGTTTATTTCTGATAACTTTTCAGAGCATTCATACTAAATAAAGTGCTAATAAACATACTTGAACGATCCTTGTGAACTATCCACACAACATACCATGACACGTGTGCTTGTGAAGGAGATCAGCATCTGTCAGGCTTGATTTCATTGCCGTATGAGTTCTGATGAAGATTACTACTAGGTTAGTCAGTTAGTGTGCTGTATAAATGGGTTTGTCCCACTAAACTTCATGAAGTTACACATTCAACTTGCTTTCAGACTAAAAGCCCACCAAACCACCAAAGATCCCACTAAAAAAACATGGGACCTTTGGGTTTGGTGGCTCAGATAAAGGTTAACTGTGCGTTGAAGCATTAACAATCTACGAGAAGATGTGTTTTCAACACTCAGCATCCAATAAATGACAAACGCTCCCAATTAAATATTCCAAACACAGACGGTTAAAGAGTTACGCGAGTAACTCACTGAATCAGTCAAATAAAAAAGGCTAATTATATGTTTGTTCTTCTGTTTTGGTTTTAGTGCATGAAGTTTCGCTCCAGATGTGAGTGACATCATTTCCATCTAAACAACTTTCCCATTCTCTCTTGCCTGGAATAAAAACAGAATTGAAAAATTAATGTAAATATTTTATCCCCCCCCCCCAATCATGCAGCCCGAGTTCATTATAAAAGAGGTAGAAATAGAGTGTAGTGTTGCATTTAAACACTTTAAAACGGATGTAACTGTGCTCTTAACTTCGTAGGTTGGATGTGTGGCCTGGTTACATATATAGTGCTGCTTCCTAGGGTATTTCTGAAGCACTTCAGCTCGATAATGGAGTTTCAGTGGGCCGCTAAATCCTGTGAGGTGGGACACTTCAAATCTGCAAGTCAAATGAGGATTGATGCTTTAATGCAGCACTCACCATATCAGCGCTGGTGCTGTGGTCGGGAAGAGCGTCGCCCGGATCCAGATTCAGGACACACAGACTCGAGTCCATCAGTTCTTCTGGGAGAGAGAGAGAGAAAACACACACACTTGATCTCAGTGGAAACACAAGGATGCACAACCGCCCAAAACCTACTGTGCGTCACAGAGGTTTATAACAGAGTGTGTTTGCATTGTCTCCTGTTCATTTTTCCCATAGGGATTAAAAAAAGTCTTTGTTAAGGCGTTATAAGTGACAAATCGAATTAAAAATGTAAATTTATTTAAAAATGTAAGTTGATTATCTCTATAGAAATATATATTTTAATTTTAATATATATATGGGAACATTAAGTTTTTTTAAAATGTTTTTGAAAGCCTCTTCTGCTCAACAAGGCTGCATTTCTTTGATCAAAAATACAGTAAAAACAGTAATACTGTGAAAAAGAAATACTTTAATTTAGCAAAGGCACATTAACTTGATAAAAAAAAGACAGTAAAGACATTTATGAAATTAATAAATATTACAAAAAAGTTCTATTTATAATAAATGCTGTTCTTTTGAACTTTCTATTAATCAAAGAATCCTGATTAGGAGTTTCCATAAAAATATTAAGCAGCACAACGGTGTTTAACATGAATAATAATCATAAATGTTTCTTGAGCATCAAATCATCATATTAGAGTGATTTCTTAAGGATCATGTGACACTGAAGACTGGAGTAATGATGCTGGAAATTCAGCTTTGATCACAGGAATAAATTACATTTTACTATATATTCACATAGAAAAAGTTATTTTAAATTTTAATACATTTTCCCTGTATTTTTGATCAAATAAAAGCAGCCTTAAGCCGGATGCACACTGCGATTTATAATAGTCCTTTACGATTGTTGCTTGTCAGACTGTACGAACATGAGCATCGCTGTAAGCCACGTCACACTGTGAGATCTCAGTTATCATTAATGTCTTTAATGTTAATGTTTAACGACAGTAAAGATGCGTTAAAAACTGACGCACGCAAGAAAACTTGTCTGAAGTTTTACGTCATCAATCAATGACACATTCAGTGACAGTGATCTGCGTTACACGCGGAGTTGAAATGGTGGCTGCAAATCTCTAACGTTAGTTTTGGTCACGGCTGGTCTTGAAAAACGAAGGTAAAATTTGATAGGTCATTAATCGGCTGTCAGACTAACGATGAAAGACGTCAGATTTTAGCCTAGGAGCAAAGGAATCTTTTAGAATTTGCTAAATTTATCTCAGACGGACAAATCGTGGCCAAAATCGCAGAGTGTGCACCCGGCTTTAGAGAAATCAAGACACTACTTTCAAAAACATAAATGTACTTGTTTATACATTATCATTTATACAAATATATACATTCTCTGAACAGATTTTAAAACACTAGGTATCATACACTTGCCGACTTTGATGCCCAGTTTTTCTCTGTAACCATTTACAAACACTAAACGACTGAGGCTCAAATCGGCTCAAAATATAAAACGTTTTAATATCCTCCGAAAGGATGGAATCTTAGTCTGAAGCTAAATCTGCCTGTGCCCATTATACACTACATGATTTTCTGTGATATTCGTCAACTCCGACTGCTCAAAATCTGAAAACTGCCACTTTCAGCAAGTATTGTTGACTCATCTAGACTGCGAATCTGAGCTAAAGTTGTGTAGTGTATTCCAGTGTTGGAGCAAGGTTCACGCAGCCAATGTTCTCGTACCGTTTCCTCTAGAAGAGCAGCTCTTGCTGTGTTCAACAGGTTTGTTCTCGGCCGGTTCTGCTGATATACAAACATCTGCAGGTTTAGGACGCGATGGTTCAGTTGCACTTCCTTCAGTGGCTGGATTCACTTTTTCCTGCTCCGGAGATGGAGGTTTTCTCTCTTTCTGGATACATTCGCTGTCGTCTTGCGCCGATGTTTGTTCGTCGTCTTCTACAGGGCCGTTCGTGATCAGTGAGGCCGCTTGTAGAGCACTGGTCTCGGTTTCTGACTGGTTCTTGTCATGGTTCTCAGAAAAGCGGACCTTTTTCTCAATGGCCCTCTGAGAAAGCGGCTCCGAATGAGCAATTTCTGTATCAACGCGTCCATTCTGGTCCGCCGTCCCATTGGAGGTCACGGCACTGATTGTGTTCAGGGACTCTTCAGATGCACATGGCTTTGCGTTTTCAATGTCAGTCTCTGGATTGACGCTCTCAGGAGCACAAAGAGCATCGAGCTCCTCTAAAAACTCCTGCAGACTGCTGTCTGGATAAACCTGGCAGAAATCATACAACAAATACATGTATTAAAAAAAAGACTATGAAATATTAAAATCTCTTTAACCTCAAAATTTCAAGAAAACAAAGAGACCGATAATCGGTTTTACCGATATTTATGATAATGGTCCGTCTTATGTGCAAATCTAAAAAACTTCTGGATATTATTTGCATGTTTATGTGCCCCGATAACCGATATCCAGAACCGATATTTATGATAATTGTCAGTCTTATGTGCAAATCTAAAAACACCCACAAGATGACGCTATTTATCGGTGAATCCCATATTACAAAACCGATATTCAATTATGGAAAAATGCTTGAATATCAGTTTTGAAATATGGGATCCACCAATAAATGGCGTCATCTTGTGTGTGTTTTGTGATTTGCACACAAGGCAGACCTTTATCATAAATATCGGTTCTGGATATCGGTTATCGGGCGCATAAACATGCAAATAATATCCAGAAGTTACCCCAAACATCTAAATCCAAAATTTGAAATAAAAACAATTTGAAACTTATATTTAGGAGTATTAAAATATATTTTATTGTGAAATTATTTTCACATTTTCATCCCATAATGTTCATTACTGTGGCAGTAATAATAACTATAATAATAAAAATCACCTGCAAATGTTCCTCCTGCTCTTTAGCATCCCACCTGAGGGCAAAATGAAGAAATGTTTGACAATCTTATTTATGATTTTAAAACAACTTGTTATCATACAGTAAATGGACATTCATTTACTCATTAAACACAGTATTTTTTTTTTTTAAAGTCAAATGTTTTGGAATCAAAGATATTGTGATATTACTAAAAAAAAGATAAAGATAATATTATTATATGTTTAACTAATGTATTTTTATTAAAGATGTTGTAAATTTAACTAAAAGTACCATGGTAATACCATGTTTTTAGTGTCAGTGTTCTTTGGAGTACCATATAAATAATGTTGTATGAATAATATTAATATATAAATGTCAAGTTTTCATGAATATAAGTCCGATGACAGTATATGTACTCACATATTTATAGTAACTTCAAAGAATACCATGTTACTAGAAAAACATTTACTTTTAGTTAACGATTTTAGCTCTTTAATAAAAGATACATTAATGAACAACATATAACAATATCGGTGATACTTTACAATAAGGCTTACACAAGTTCTTAAACATTTTGCTCATTGTTAGTTAATGCTTTAACTTAAGCAATGGGACTGTAATTTTATTTCTGGTGCTTTTAAATGTCTTATGTATCCTTGTACGCTGTCCTTGAGTGCAGAAAAAGACGCCTTTAAATAAAATGTATTATTATTATTATTGTAAGCCCGTCTAAATCGGTCCAATAGCGGTTTCCGATAGAACGGGTGAAGGTCTCTGCGCGTTACTGTCTTTCCGCGTGGCAAAGTAATTAAGTTTCAATTAAACTTATCTGACTCCATTTTATCACGACTTCGAATTTAGGTTAGAATGCCAATTGGTTATTTGCCATTGATATAATAGTTTAGCAGCACATTTGATTATTCTTTTTAACTCTTGACTTATATTTTACCCATTCATATTAGGAAGCTATGTCACAAACTCGTCAGTGTTCGGGCACTAAACAGAGGTAATTGCTATATATCTGAGTCGCATTCACGCTTACACAATCAAAGATACTTTTATACAGCCCCGTAACTGCATACACTTGAAATTAAAGTAACGTTTACTTCAGGCAGAGGTATGGCCACTATTACAGATATAAGTCGACCAATATTACTTCTCTTATAATAGCTTTGGATTGGCCATGCCGTGGTTTCAAACATACACTTATCTAAAGTATTATAATTTATATTAATAGCGCTAATCATTTTTGCTGTTCTAAATGGAAATTCACTTCTTGTCTTTACTAAACCAAGTACACTTGAATTAGTGCCAAATATGAGTCGTCACTAATCTGACGGTAACATACGAATCCGTTTAATCTACTTGGGAAAACAATTTCAGAGCAAGTCAGAATAAGTTAAAATGTTTACAATTTTATTATGTCAGGTAAATGTATCAAGCCAATTTCATAATCAGTTCAAAGATAATCAATACAATAACATCAAAATGCTCAGAGATAAAGAGTAAAAGATGTAGGCTATACTCGACATTTAGAGAAATACATAATGCGAAATACCGGAGTGAACATGGCTGACCGAGTTTTGCTGGCTCCTTAACCTGATCCTCCATGAGTGCAGCCAAGGGGGACACAATCACAACTATCGCCTTGCCGGCCTTTGGCCTGCCCAGTTTCTCGCTGACGATCGGTAATAGTTGATAAATTAAACTTTTCCCAAAACCTGTCGGGAGTAGGGCCACGACATCACCTTTATTCAAAATGTTTAACAAACACTCTTCTTGTTCGGCCTTCAGTTTGGAAATGCCGGGAATATTCTCCACAACAGAGCGAATTGCATCCCGTGTCTCCATATCCGCGGTCGTTTTCGATTTCCCCAACCTTAAACTCTGAGCTTAGCGTCTACGTCACGGCTCTCAGCCCGCCCTCTGTTCGTTGATTGGCCGGCTGTTTTCAGGCCGGAGGAAAACTGAGAGACATGTCGATGTCTCAGACTGAGTACAGAAGCGAACTGAAATAGAGCGGAAGTACGAAGTCTGACGTAGTCAGGCTAGTGCTAAGTGAGCTGGTCGATCGGAATTACGATTGTGAAATCTAATTACATGGAAATGCATGAATTATATCTGTTTATTAAAATATATGGGTGACTAACTACAAGGGAAGAAGGGGTCCCATACTTTCATATGAGATTCCAAGTCACAGTTCAGCTCACTTAGCACGGCGTTCGTGGTTCGGCTGGTCGAGACTGTTTTCCAAGATGGCTCCTGCCTGTATACGGGAAGTATAAAGTATCTTCTTATTAAACAGTCTGTACACTTACAATACTTCTCAATGCTCCGATTTGCAGGTAGGGACCCTCATTATGCTAGCGTGTTAGTGTGGGGCTATTTTGAGCCTTGTTAGTGGTATTTACTAGCGATTTCTTTTTACTTACTCGATGCCCTATATACTTTTTAGAGATAAAACTCTTTACATTCGATTATCATGAAAACAAATCCCAGAGAACGGTCGACTCGGTACCAATGTGTTATTACACCAAAGGTTCATTTTGTGCCGGAGTTGTCCTTTAAGTGAGACTTGTGCCTCGAATGTTTATGCTAACTTCACAAGAGAGAGTTCAAATGCTAATTTCCAGAAAGGGTCCTTCTCAGGGAGTGGTCGTTCCTCAACCAGACTGCCCGGCATTTTCTAATTTCTCAAGACTTACAGGACCTTATTGTGAAGTTTAACCATCATTTATCTATCTTCTATAACAGCATCACAATATCTTCTGATTACAAAACATTTGTTTGGGCTTTTTGTTCAATTACTGTGTTTAATGAGCGTTTACTGTATGATAACAAGGAACTGCTTTGAACCTAATGAGATTTTAAAAGACGAATTGTATCATTATAAATCATCCGGTCATGTGATCGGATGAGTTTGTGGTTGAACGTTAATGCTGAGTGGGAGTGGAAATGCTCATAACCATAAATCCCTCTGAAAAGCATTTCCCATCATCCTTTGAGTCTGGGTTAATGGGTTTGAGGTGAAATGTGGCCGGATGTTACTGTAAACGGTTCAGCACTTTAACACTTCAGTGTGAGGTCAGTTTACCTCCTCGCTCGACCCGTCAGACGGTCTTTCCCCTTCGCTTTGCTCCCCACCACTGGGACACTTTTCCCCTTCTTGTCGGACGCTTGGTGTCGAACTAGAAAATCCAAAACAAATCAACACATAATGTGATGTCGTCAACTTGACTACCAGTTATAATTATTAATCACACAGTGCCACAAAACAATACATTTTTATAATATTTTTCCAATGAAAACTGAGCTTTAATTTTATTGCAGTGTGTTGAGCTGTCTATTAAAGAGAAAATAATATAATTAATATAATATAAAAAAATCATTAGTGTATTATATTAGTAAATATACACATGACACATGCTAGAAAATGTACTTGAAAAGAAATTAAACATGGAAAAACAACTCATGAATAAACAAATGGATGGAATTTTATTTATGATTATATTCATTCATACTTTGTTTTTCCATGTTTCATTTCTAATATCAATTCACAAAGCTTGTTTTTTTTCCATTTTAATTTTCCTGGATTCCATTTTAATGATTTAATTAAATTTTAATAATTAAAAAGGACGTGTAATCAACCGAATTCACAAAAGTTAAACAATTCAATAATTTATTAAAATGTTAACAATAATAATGCCCTACAAAATATGTTTTTTTCTCTCAGAAATTTGTTTCATTGCATTGTTGAATGTGATATTTCATAACTGCCTATTAAGAGAATTATAAAAATATCATTAGTGGTATATTATACACAAATCTAACACAAAAAAATGTACAAGGAAAGAAATTAAAGGCAGATTATGAATAAATAAAATATATAAAATATAATGATTGTATTTGCTATTGTACAGAAATGACTTTGGTTTTAGAAATCATGAACGTTATTTATTCATAATTTGTTTTCCATGTTTCATTTCTAATATCGATTCACAATTGTAATAAAGCTTTGAGCGTCCCATCATTAAATGTACAGCTAACTAGTACGTGATTGGTCTATTTTGATTAGATGTGCTCGAATCTATAGATTCCTATCCATCAAAGTATTCCAACAACTCCTCTATATCACTCAATCTACTTCTAGGTCGAGAGTTTCCGGCTTTACGCACCTCTGGATTCTTCCGATCTCAGATTTCCTCTTCTGCCGTTTTGACCTCCAATAATTAAATATAATTAACCCAGAAAATACAGTAATTACACACTACATTACAGGAAGGCCCAATCTTCAACAGAGAAAATAATAAATACACCATTTGCTCCTTGATTAGTTTCTCGATCTCAGCTGTAAATGGGTTTCATCTGAAAATTAAAACATTCACCTCTGTTTGACGTTCCTCCATGTTCCTTTTCAGAGAACCTACAAATAAAACATATTGGAAAAAACAAAAACACACAGGGCAACTGAACATCAACACAAAATACTGACAATTCCAACAATATACCATGCAAATCAAGCTCAATGTGCCACTACAAGTGCATGTGTTAGTTAGCTGACAGAAGCATGAGTTTTAGTGACTGGGTTATGATGGTTATTGGTGCAGATTTAGATTTCCGGCTACCAGATGGAGCTTATTATTTTAAAACAATAATAGTGTCTGGACAGGAGGCTTTTCTTTAGACTTTACAGACCTTTTTTTTCTTTCCATAACTTTTTAAAATGACAATTAATTTGGAGTTAAATATGATCTGGAGTGTTGTTGTCTTTTGTTTCTATATGTATTAGAGATTTGTCTTATAGTAATGCACCCCTTGTTTTGTTTTCTAATGTGTTCTTATTATATTTACAAAAATGTGAATGTTGGGAATGGAGAACTTTGGTCTAGATCACAGACTGGAACTGTGACCATGAGGTAATGTAAATCTGGCTATTGTATTGTTCCCAATGTTTCAAAAATAAAGAATAAAAAAAAAATATATATAAATATATGATCTGGATATTTCTTCACGAGATTTACCCAAACAGAACTTGAATACAGGGATGATAGTTAGCTGGAAAAATGGTTCAGACATGAACACATGCACTGGACGTTCACTGATCAAGTGTTTTACCTCCCACAAAACAGTTTCGCTGCCCTGAACAGTCTCTAGTGTTCGTAAACCCTCCCAAATAAGGAAAGGCATTCAAAGCACCCTAAAAATAACCTCTTGTCCCCATCCACTCAATAGGGAAGATTATTTATTTCAGAGGAACCCATATGAAACACTGAAGCCTTCCAGACATTTGTTAACATTTGGCCTGAAGTCTTGTTTGTGGTACTGCATGTTCAGGTTTGTGAGGACTCACTGACTTACACACACACACACACGTTCGTTTCACTAGTGAAGACATTGCATAGACTAGACTTCCATTGATTTTATATCAGGTTAATGATATAACCCATACCCCTAAACCTACACATCACAGAACATAACATAAAACATGGTGTTTGAACGTGTTTGAACATAAATGTGTTAGCAGTGTGTGTACACAACTACCCAATAATGGCAAAAATCCACCCACTCCTTTTTTTAATCCCCATAAATAAGAAGTGTCTCAGAATAAGCCGTTCTCAGTTTCTATGCAATATGACGGCACATATGCGTAGGCCCCGCCCACAACTACTGACAGACTCCACCCTATTCGCATAGACTCCGCCCCTCCATGAGCTGCACACAGTCCGCCACGTTTATCTCCTCGCCAGAGCATTCAAGTAAGAAATGTAGTCTTATTAAAGCTACTAAAGTTATTCAGTCAAGAGGAGTGAGTGATTTCGTTTTTTCTTTTGTTGTTTGATTCATATTAATTTATTATTATTAATATTAATTAATTTATTTAAAGATACATGCACGAAAACAGCATGTTTTTCCTTCCACTCAAAAATGCATTTACAACATGTTATACTAAATGATCTGTGGAGTAGAGACCTCTTTTTCTTTCCATAACTTTTTAAATGACAATTTCTTTCTTGATTTTGGAGTTAAATATGATCTGGATATTTCTTCATGAGATTTACCCAAACAGAACTTTAATACAGGGATGATAGTTGGCTGGAAAAATTGTTCTGACATGAACACTGAACACTGTTTTTTTGAACTGAAACTTTACAGACACATTCTGGGGACAACTGAGACCTTATATTACATCTTGTAAAAATTGGCATAATAGGTCCCCTTTAAATAAAAGCATGTTTTGGCCGATTTAAAATACTTTTTAACTAGTGAGGACCAATAAAATATCCTCACTAGTCAGTTGTCATAACATTTAACTACATAAGTGAGGACATTTGGACCTCACAAGTGATAGCCAAACCCTCGCTCTCGCGCTCTCTCTCTCTCTCTCTCTCTCTCTCTCTCTCTCTCTCTCTCTCTCAGTCTCTTCTCTCTCCTCTCTCTCTCATCTCTCTCTCTCTCTCTCTCTCTCTCTCTCTCTCTCTCCTCTCTCTCTCTCTCTCTCTCTCTCTCTCTCTCTCTCTCTCTCTCTCCTCTCTCTCTCTCTCTCTCTCTCCTCTCTCTCTCTCTCTCTCTCTCTCTCTCTTCTCTCTCTCTCTCTCTCTCTCTCTCTCTCTCACACACACACACACACACACACACACACACACACACACACACACACACACACACACACACACACACACACACACACACACACACACACACACACACACACAAAGCCTTTGTGCAAAGAAAACCCTTAGTTATGAAGAGTTAGTGATGAAAAATTATGAAGATGAACAATTATCTCTTTAGGTATAACATCACTGATGAATTGTTCACTAAACATGTACAGAGTCCAATTTGCTTTCATGTGGATCATAACCACGTATTAATGTTATGGTGATTATTTATATGAATGCATATGCGCTATAAAAACATTTACAAACACAAACTCAATCTGGTGTAAATCTGCATGCTCTGGAATAAATATGCTACAAATAGAAGACAAAAACTACATGACCTTTACCTCTAATAATCCACATCACATTTAGCTCATCGTCTAGTGCTGTTTGATTCAATTACTTGAATTAAAGTCATACAAGTCTCATGACCTCGCTGAATCAAGACATTTGACCTAAAAACCCCATTGTTTTCACAAGAGATGTGATTCAAAAACTTTCCCTGAAAATAACTTCGGTTTTAACAGGCGGAGATACATGAAATTGAGTTAATGTTATTTATTTATATTCTTGTGCCCACTCAAGTTCTAGTTCTTCTACATCAGCTCATGTTTAATCAAACAAATGAAGCAGATCAGATCTGGCAACACATTTGGCATCTAAGAAACTTGATAGTCATCTGAGCGAAAACAAGGACCTTTTATAACCTCTATGACATTAAACGAGAGTCCAGCTCACTGATGTGGGCAGCTAAAAGGTCAAAGATCATTCATTAAACCCATTTTCCTTCCATAATGTGACATTTCTCAGAGCGAGACAAGATATTTAAGTTAGCTCTGAATGTGAGTTTGAAGTGGATTGTGCACCTCCACATTTCCCAATGGTGACGTGTCTTTTTCACAGCTATCATTATTTGATATTATTGCTTTAAATGTAGACAGTAACAAGCAAATTACTATATTACTATAGGCAAGATTTTAGAAAGGCTGCAGAATCTATTGGCTACTTCTTGTAGGTACAACAGTAACCTAAAACATTATAGTTTTTGTTGCGAAATTTATTCGGCAAATGTGTTTCCATCATAGTTTATGTGCATGTCTTCTTATGGAATAAAAAAGTATCTGCCTCAAAAGAATTATGTGCATTTTAAGATTTTGCGCGCAATTTTTGTTGTTGTGCAAGATCTCAAAATTTGCAAAAAAACAAACAAAACACATGGATGGAAACAGCTAATGACTAAATAGATATTTGACTATTGGTTAGGAATGCATGATATATCAGCCACAATATCGGTATTGGCCGATACATGTTCATTTTTAATGTTATCGTTATCGGCCTGATAAGAAAGATGTGGCCAATATATTAAAGCCGATGAGCACCATGCACCATGATGGCTTTGAATTGTTTGAAATATGATTGGAATCACTTAAAGGGTCATGAAACCCTAAACCAAATTTTCTGAGATTTTAACAGAGGTATGTGTGTTGAACAACATTGAAGACAATGTTAGCATCTGTTAGATTTAATAGTAGGGCGAAAATGGTTAAATTTTAGTTTTTTCCAGCTATTTTCGTCTTCCGGGTTTAAAATCTTCATCGCAGGCTGTGACGTGGCAGAGCACAGTATAGTGCGTTGATGACTCATCGGTCTCTCATAATTATTAATGAGACTGAATTTTTATATCCTATGAGAAGACACGGTCTCTTAATTATTCATGACACCACGTGGATCTTTCCACAGACATGTCAAACTGTGATATCGCGTAGCAAAGGAGAGAGACAATCATGGGACGCAAGTGCCGCAAACATTTTACCCGAGAGAGCTTCGAGAATTGGAGAATGGTGGACTTCGGCTTTGTCGATGACCAATGCAAGTTACGTCTTGCGAGTAATGCGGTACCAAGCCCTGAGGACTTTTCTATCCCTTCAGAGTGTGTGTCTAAAATGTAACCCTGGTCATTTTACTTGCCTTTTGTTAAATAAGCGGTCGTTATGAACATTTTAGATATTTCGATAATATATCAATTGCATGCTTAATGCGGGAGACTTGTGAATGTGTAGTGTTGACGTGCGGGCCGGGCGACACCGTGTTGTGTGTGTGTGTGTGTGTGTGTACGTGCAGGCAGGCGAGCCTGCGAAATGACTCGGGGTCAGAGAGAGAAGGGTGTAGGATGTGTGTTTGGACGAACGACTGAAAACTCTGAGATTATTGTTCATTATTGATCGTACATTGTACAGAGGTCAAAATTATTGTACAAATACGATAATTATCGTACATCTGGCAACACTGCTGGCTGATGACAGTTCCCCCTCTCCCCTGCCGTGCCACACCCACTCCCTCCCTTCTTCTCACAGCCATCCACGCCCATTTAAGTTGCATTTTTCAAAAAGATTATGAGCTAGACTTGAGCTGATAGAGGGGGGTTTCATGACCCTTTAAAACGGCAAAATACAGTTCAGTGCAACAAGTCATATAAGCTATATGAAATTATAGTGAGAACATTATAATTGTGTGTTTGGGACATGGATTTTAATGGTGAGACTTTTTGTTATCAGGCTCTCAAAAATTGTATAAAAAATTTGGATTTAGATTTTTCTGCCAATATGTCGATTATCGGCTTTCAAATATAAAGAATTATCGGTTATCGGTATCGCCCAACAGTTTCATATCGGCGAATCCCTACTATTGGTTAACATTAACCAACAGCACACATGGCCTAGGTGACATCAGCCAAATATTAAAGCCATTTCAAAAGGTTTTCTGATGAATCTATGAAGCATTAAAGTGAGGACAAATCAAAGATATGAGTGAAGCATTTGAACTCATGGATCTGAAGGTGTCAGTAAGACAGCAGACACAGAGATGATTCAAACAGCTGGCATTTATGTAAGAGGCAGTTAAACGTGCAAAAAAAATAAATAAAAAAAACACGAACAAAGAGGAATTCAAACTGAAATCAAGATGCAAACTAAAGCAACACAGGTTAGTTTCTCTCACGTCAGAACAGAAATGAAGCGCTTGCGTCTGGCTTACATCAGATCGGCTTTATCCATGTCCCAGGCTCTCCTCCACTGGCCTTTGGCGTTTTTGTGCCGGGCCACACGCTCTCGGTCGATCTCCTCGCGCTCCTTCTTCCATCGCAGGTACTCAAGATGTTCTTCCTTAGATGCGATGCTCAGGTCAGCGATGGCTTCAGAGATCTATGAGATCATTTGAGTGTCAAATACGGAACAAAATATATCCAATTTGTTTATATCTCTTACATTTTAAATTTAAAGGGAATTTTTTCTTTTGTCATCTTTCTTTAGTGTGTAATGTTGCTGTTTGAGCATGAACACGCTCCAGTTCTTCTCTATATCAGTGTCAGTGTTTCTGAACTCCTGAAACGCCTCCATTGTAGTCTTGAGTTTCTTCCGGGAACGAACACGTCACAATATTCCTCATTATAATAATTCATACGCAGAATAAAGGGGCGGGGCCTGGTTGAGCTAGTTAGTAGTGTGTTAAACTGGCGGTAATGGTAAGGGGCGGGACATTTCCCAAACACACTCGAAGTGCTCGACCAATCACAACACACTGCTCCAGCCGACCAATCAGAGCACAGTGTGCTTTTCAGAAGGAGGAGCTTCATAGAGACAGGAAGTAAACAGAGCGTTACTGACAGACTGGGAAGAGAGGAGCCGCAACAATGGAGAACATGGGGAAAATAATGTGTTTTTTAACATTCAAGCCTGAAAACCTATTCTAGTAGAGCCAAAAATCAACATCAAAACTTTGAAAAAGGGCATAATGGTCCTCTTTAATATTGCACAGCCAGACATATTTTAACCATGTTCATACTTTTTATTAAATGTAATTGTTTTCACAATGATTTTTCATTATAATATAGATGCAAATACTTAATAATAAGCTATTACATTAATTTTTCTGAATTCAGAAATCATAACCATTTCTTGACAGTTTGTCTGTCAAATGCACATGTAAACGGTCTAATTTGACAGATGAATTTGTGACTAATTACAAGTCTGATTGACCAACACAAAGATATGGGAAGATGGAACGATATCTTCATTCCCTCCCTTTTAAAAGCTGATGAATTATTTATTTTGTTGTCCTAACAACATGATTAGTGGCATTTGAACATTTTGTTTTAAGCTCTGTGCGTTTAATTCAATTTGAGTGTGTGAGCGATGGAAACACTCTCACCGGGACACCTTGAGATCCTACACATCGACTCCATTGATCTCCTCGTCCTGTGTCCTCCTAAATAAACACACAGATGAGAGAGAGACAACATTACTGAAACCTCAGTGTAAAAGATTGTAACAGTGTAAAAGATTGTTACAGATCAAGACTTCAAAAACGGTGATTCCACAGCTGAAGTTTACTGTTACTGGTGCATATATACACACACACTCCACAGGAATATTTAGAAGGGGAGAGGGGTAAGATGTGACGCCTGAATCTGAGCATGTCACCATATTTAGAACAAGCACATAACACACACTAGCTGGGATGCGCTGCCCTCATGTGGATAAACACAAGCATTACACTTGCTTTAGTGACATCATCATCTTCATCACAGCTGCTAGATCTGTAGATCTATAAAGTTCAAGGCTGGTAATGACAAAGCCACGAGACACACACACACTGAACTTCATCTGTAAATCAGTAGGGTCTCATACACTCTCTAGAAACCTTCCAACGGTAGAGTTTTGAAAATGTGACATAAAATAAAGCGGTTCTCAACTACTGAGCTGTGAAATGACTGATAAATTCACAGACAGCAGAGAAGAAAGGATAAAATGCAACAAACCATATAGATGTGTGTAGTTGGGATAGTAAAATAAATAAGACTAATTTTAATGACTCATAAATTTTTAAGGGAGGAGAAAAACTTCCCATATCATTTGATGTTGACGTCAAAGCGTACAAATTAAACTCTACAGTATTTTCAGCACAAATTCCTCCGTCACATTAGTCAAATGAAGTACATGTCGACATGGACAAGTTGTGCGACAGACAAAATTCAATATAAAAATCCCTTGCAGTGAGAATAAACTGAACACAGCCTGAGTTTTTGCTGAACACATCCTGGTTTTAAGTGGTGAAGCATTAAAATTCAACATTTATAAACCAAACTACTAATTTTTCTTATGTCATGTTAATAATGTTGCACACTTTACAATAAGGTTTAATTTGTTAACATTAGTCAACATGAACTTCATTCAAATAATCATAATTTACAAATACATTGTTAATATAAAAAGCTGTATTTGCTAACATTAGTTAATGCACTGTGAACATGAACTAACAATAAGGTTAATAAATGCCACAAAAATATATTGCTCATTGTTAGTTCATGCAATGTTAACAAATGTGACCTTACTGTAAAGTGTTACTTTTTTTTTTCCTGAAGCAAAACCAGCAGAGAAATGCTGTCCTAAAGAGGAACACACACTACTGTGACAGAACGAGACTAAAACACACACATCAAAAGTGTCTCTCAAACTGGCCTCTGCACTCATAATAAACCTATTCAGAAGAAAGAGCAGCCAAATGTTAATTGGATTAAACTGTATGGGTAATTATGAGCTGAGAGAGAGAGATATACAGTAAGAGCTACACTACACTGTCTCTCTCTGCTTCTGTCCTCCATCATGATCACAGCATGACATCACGCGATATCATTTATGGCTGTGGCATGATGTCATTCTTCTGGAAACATTTGATGAATGCTGCGATCGGCGAGGGCAGAGCACTCAACTGCACTGATGCATTATGGGAGAATCATCTTGTATCACATACAGAATACTCCCACTCACGTTACTAAAATCTGTCTGTCAGCCACTAGAGCATCTGCTGCACACAGCAGTGATGAATATGACATGAAATATGAGTTTTGGATCAAAATATGGCTTTTTGAGACACTTTCCACCATCCAATCAATTCTTCTTATATAAAATTGAGACCTTCTTTTTCTCATTGAATATCCTGTTTCACTCTGAAAATGTTCAATTATAGAATTTAAATGTGTTTAAAAGAACCTAGCAACCACCCAGATGGCCCTAGCAACCACACCACAAAAAAGTGTATATAAAAAGTGTTATTATTGCTAACTAAAAATATTGAGATAAAGCTGTGGGTAAATAACATAAATATCAGATTAAAAAAACTTAAATGAAAATTAGAAATGCTGCCTTGGCAACTAACTGAAATAAAAGTAGTAAAATTACTAAAGCTAAATAGAAATATTTAAAAAACACTGCCCTAGCAATAAGTGTGTTCATGGCCAGTGTTGTTATTGTTAAATAAAACTATTAAAAATACCTTATGCGAATTTAAATAAAGCTGTAGGAGAATAAAAAAAAAAAATTTTAGATAAAAAAAATGCTGCCTTGGCAACTAACTGAAATAAATAGTTGAAGGACTAAAATTATTTATATTTAAAAAATAAAAAATATATATTATGATAATACATTTTATAATATAATAATATATTATAAAATTGCTAAAAAACTAAAATTGTAATAAAAAAGTAAAGCCACATAGAAACATAAAAACACTAATAATAAAAATGACAAAAGCATGTAACAAAACTACTAAAACAAACTAAAATTAAAAAGCTAATTAAAAACATGAATCTATATAATAGTATATAAATATAACAGAATGTGAAAAATACTAAAATAACACGTCTCTCTGTTTTTAAATGTAAAACACAGACGCTCAGTGAAGTCATATATCTTAAGACGCCGCCGATGCTCAGAATCACACTCTCGTTCTGTCAGTGTGAGAGTCTGTGAGCTCCGATCAGACAAAAGCTGGGATGATAAAGCGCTTCGGCTCGGCCTGTCGTGTCGGTCACACAATGGGCTGCATTATACGGGCCTTTCAGACGCCGGAGGACAGAAGCAGCTGCCGTCCAGACAGCTCAGCCCCGCTGGGTGGAAAACAGGCCTGATCGGTCCACACCCGCACATTCCCACACGCCAGTGAGAGTCTGACAGACAAATCACACATACGTAACACTAAACCATCACTTCTGGGTTTGAGTTTCTTATAATGGCATTTCGTTTTTATTATTATTAATACTTCAAATAAATGCATTAGTGATGCACCGAAGAGAAAATTGTGGCAGATACCGATATTAATATTGCTGTTATGGCCGATACCGATATTTACCGATATCGATATATATTGCGATATAAAAACAATTTCACCAGATGACTTGAATAGCTCTATTTGGAAAGAATGAATCATTCTAGAATGACTTGGGGTGGTTTTGTCATGGAGTAAATCCGCATAGAAACTAATATTAATAGAATGTAAACTAATTTAGTTAACTAGACTTTAATAAATGGAACCTTATTGTAAAGTGTTTCAGATTTATGTCTCTTGAGTTCAGTGTTGGACAGATCAGTTGTTTTAACCATTCATTAACCCTCTGGGGTCCTTCATTTCAGAGTCACACTCAGGACCTTCGGGTCCAAATGGGCCGGAAGGGTGGGATTAATATTTATTTTTAAAAAATCATCTTTTTTTTTTTTTACTTGTTTTTTATAATATTTTTTTTTTCTTTTTTGGTGTTTTGAGATAATTTCAAGAATAAAAATGATTTATAATTAACATTAATGCAATAATTATGACCCATTTTTTCCCCATTGAATATAATAGAAAATTAATAAAAAAAAATTTTTTTTTAAAGCTGTATTTCATTTTAGAGTCAAGCCTAGGCCTCATGAAAGCAATTTTTGAAATGAGATGGATGCCATCTGGTGGACAAACTGAGCATTTTAAAAATTCAAAACCCATATGTAATCTAAATTTATTAGTATGTGTATAAAAGTGTGTTTGTGTGTGTTTGTGTGTGTGTGTGTGTGGATGTGTCTGTTTTGCACTCTTGATGTTTTATAGATTCACCCCTTCACTGTTGTGTGCTTTTTTTCTGGATCGTGGCTGATTTGTAGATTGTACGCACAAAAAAACTCTGTATTTTCACATTTTTGCCAATTTCCCATTCATTTCCTATGGGGGTCCATTTGGACCCGAAGGTCCTGAGTGTGACTATTTTTTTTACAACGACTTAGACTATTCAAATCCTGTCCACAATTTTTTTGGGTGTTCATATACCAAGTACCAACAAAGTCACCAAATTTCGGACCATTCCGATAAAGCTATGATTTAAAAAAAAAATTTTTTTTAAATGCTTCGGGTCCATTTGGGCCGAAGGACCCCAGAGGGTTAAAGTGAACCGGTTCAAAGGAGTCATTAGTTCGCAAATCGGACGTGTCTTTAATGGACCACGGCACACGTTGTGTGATTATCCAGGCAGTTTAGGACATCGCACACGATTTACCTCAACACAGAAAACATTTCATCACTAGATAGATTTTTTTGTTTTGTTTATTGAAAGTGTGGATTATGTCATCTGAGTGTGTGGAAAGCTTTTCAGAGTTGTGAATTTCGCTATAATAACGTTGCCTTTACTATCCAGTGGTAGTTCAGAAAAAAAAAACTTCGGACTTCCGACCTTTTACCATCGCGCGCGCGACCGGGGCTTTCACTCTCTCTGCTCGTTCTCTCAGTTAAACAAGCGCATTCTCTCAGTTAAACAAGCGCAGCAGTCATTCATCTACATCACTCATCTACATCACTCACCGGTCAAATAAGGCTTCGGCGGGACATAAACACACCTAAGGCTGACAGAAAACAGCGCGCAAGTTCCAGTCTTCTTGCGCTTGATGTTTAGACTGACAGGACTTGCGCTCGTAATGTATGCGCTCGTGCAAAAACAAACATCCCCGCCCCCACACTCACATCTACACACACGTCAAATACACAGGAATGATTATCGCCTGTTCACATCGGCCCTTTTGACATCGGAACGATACCGATGTGTAAAAAATTGACCATATCGGCCGATATTACCACTAAAATGCATCACCGTTTACACAAAAATATGAAGCAGCAAAAAAACGTTTTAACACTAATAATAATCAGAAATGTTTGTTGATCATCAGATCATCATATTAGAGTTATTTCTGAAGGATCATGTGACACCAGCTTTGATCACAGGAATAAATTACATCTTACAATATATTCACATAGAAAACAGCTGTTTTAAATTGTAATAATATATCGCATTTTTACTGTATTTTTGATCAAATAAATGCAGCCTTGGTGAGGAGAAGTCAAGAGGCTTCTTTCAAAAACCCTAAGCTTTTGAACAGCAAACGGTGAAATGGGCAGAGGGAAAATACCCAAACAAAACAAATGAGAAAGAAAGAGGAACAGTGTGAATCAGTGTTTGTTGTGGCTGGTGATCCAGTGACATCATGCGTCTGGAATCTACCAGAACAGCTGAGCAGACTTCGGCCCAATGAACATTCACACGCTCGGCTCTTATAATCAGTCCTGTCATGTCTGAATCTATTTACAGCATCAACGCTTGAGAACCAAATGAAGAGGGCGTCCCAGACACATGCTGCTACACATCTGCTCACCTCCGGGACTCTCCTTGCGGACGGAGGACGTTTCTCTCGTGCGTTGGACTCCAGCACTTCTTCAACACAACACTTCAACCTCACTGGACTCACGGGCCGGTTCCGGTCCTTTCTTTCCCCGAACACCCTCTTACCCTGAAACAACATGATATAAACACTCTCTAGCATTATTTAAATTCATTCTCTCTGTCTAAAGCCTGTTATCACAAGTGTCTGACGAGAGTTACTGATGAGTAGAGCTGCACGATCTGAGAGAAAAAGAAAAGAAAATCGAATTGTGATTTTTCTGATAAAAAGGTATTATTTTTTAAAGCTCCAGGTTTGCTGTGCTTGTTTATAGGGTTGCATTATTTGCACTAGGGCTGCACGATTTGGGGTAAATGTCATATTGCGATTATTGAGGTCAATATTGCGATTGCGATATAATAAACAAATGGTTTCATGAGTCAACTGGCTTGGTTCTAAAGCAAAATGCACACACAGATTAGTGATAATTCTGAAATGTGTATTTCTCAACTCAAACTAGCAACAATAACTAAATGATTGATAACATCTATAATGATCAATTAGCCATTGATGTCTGGATAAAAATGACCAGCACTAATTTGCACAAATCTTATAAAAATAACCAATATTATTACTAAATTAAATTATTAAACAAAAAAGGAAATATAACTGCTGTTTTAAAAAAATATATTATAAAAAGTGACCATTAAACCATCAAGCTTTTATTTTGACTCAGTTCTCATTGCATATATTGTTTCTCTATTAAAAACGTCACATTATTAAATTTAAATGGGTTTTAAAGCACCTAGAAACCACATAGAAACAAGGGTGAAATAAAATATTAATATTAGAATAAAAAAAACTATGGAAATTATATATGCAGCATTGGCAACTAACTGAAATAAAGTTTAATTTGATGTACTAAAATTACTAAAGCTAAAACCAATAAAAATAAATTAAAGCTAAATAGAAATAAACAAAAAATAACAATGACAAAATTACTAAAAATTGAAATAAAATAAAAATTTAAAAAATAAAACCAGGTCTGAAGCCTTGACTGTGTATGTAGTCTCTCTCGGTCTCACCTTGATGTTTCCTGGCGTTGTGACGAGCAGCTGCCGTCTCTTTCCTCTCCCGATGCTGAAGACACTGGATCCGGGATCACAGTCCTTCTCCGGCTCTCCTTCTCTCAGCCCGCCTGGCCTCTTGGTCACCACACGCTGATCCTGAACACAGGTGCTTACAACATGAAAACTCAACATTATTATTAATACAGGTGAAACTCGAAAAATTAGGATATCGTGCAAAAGTTAATTTATTTCAGTAATTCAACTTAAAAGGTGAAACTAATATATTATATAGACTCATTACATGCAAAGTGAGATATTTCAAGCTGTTATTTGTTATAATTTGGATGATTATGGCTTACAGCTTATGAAAACTTTTTCACAATATTCTAATTTTGAATTTGGGGTTTTCATAAGCTGTAAGCCATAATCATCAAAATTATAACAAATAAAGGCTTGAAATATCTCACTTTGCATGTAATGAGTCTATATAATATATTAGTTTCACCTTTTAAGTTGAATTACTGAAATAAATTAACTTTTGCATGATATTCTAATTTTTCGAGTTTCACCTGTATTTACTAAACTACTCTTAGTTTTTTTTCTCCACATTTTATTTACTTTAGGTTGCTGTAGCTCGACTTGTATAACAATGTTAGGTCAGTGGTTTTCAACCTTTTTGACTTTTCCCCCACATGACTTTTCCAGTTGTTTGTGATTAACTGGATAAATAAAATAAGGATTTAAAAAATATTTTATCACAATTTCTACCTGAAGTGTTGGGTACAGTACAGCCTCCTTTAGTGTATTAAGCGGTCAACAGAATGCACTAGCTCATATTTTTTTTGTAGGGTTGATAAAAAAAAAAAAACCAAAAGGTATTTAGGCACAATTAGCTACAAAACTGAAAAAACACATCTTATATTATAACATTATATTATGTTAGAAAAGTACAAAATAAATAAAATAATGAAAAATAAAACTGTTTTTTGCAATCCTGTCATCTTTTACTTTACCTTTCCAAGAAAGGTCCCATTTCCAGGACACGCATATTTCATCACTGTGAGACTAGTGAGATTTCCACGACACAAATCGGCACAATGCCAAATGATTTTTTCTCATTATAACAACAGAAACAACTTTAAATACTCCCATAATTTATGGTCATACTGATAAAAGTAAGACATCATTCGAAAAACTCACAATAAAAACAAAACATAGTGCTTTTGTAAAATAAAAAAAACAAATAGGATGCCGCTTTCTGTCGTTCCCAGTTTCCTGTGCGTGAAGTTTGTGTAGCACGTCACAAAAATTAAACGAAACTTATAGCGTATAGGCTACTAGCAAGCTCTTGCATGCTATATGAACTCTTGTTTTGGGTTGGTCTTGCATTTTTTCCTGTTGTGGCGGTTAGCAAACAGTGTTGCATTACTGCACACGCCCCCTTCTGGGGGGCCGGTTTCACAAAGCTATTTTAGACCAGTCTATATTGTTAGACAAGTCTAAAATTTGCTCATAAACTAGTCTAATGCAAGTTACACTGTTTCGCAAAAATAACTTAATTTAGACCAAAAAATTAGACACCTTAGGCTAACTTAGGTCTGAGACTCTGTTACCTTGGCAACCAGCAGTAACAATCAGTTACATTACAAACAGCCGAAAGAAAAAGGAAAATGGCCCTTACCATATATATTCATCACCAATATCAGTGTCTTTAAGTTTCTCTTGGGGTCCTCCTCCCGTTTTTGGATGTTTCCTCTAAAATATTTCTTTTTTTGGCATCTTGTACCATTGTATCTTTTCTGTACGTCTTTAACGCTCCGCTCAACGGTCGGATTAACGCTGTTAACTGTCGTAGCAATCTTTGTCCAAATTAAACATTTCTTCTTGTTAATACATTCTCCGCTAAATTTCCCAAGTAAAATGTCCTTGTAACTGTTACACTCCTCCAACACACACATATCTCCCGCTGGGGTAAACTGCACCGAGCGGTTGAATGCGCTTACTCGGTCCGGCATGTTTTTTGTTTTGAAAAGTGTCTTATTTTACCCAGAATGCATTGCAGTGTAGTTCTATTTAAGATAGTCAGAGTCTTCAGTGCTTTGTGCTACGGTCTGATTTAGATGTCTATCTGAAGTCTGACTATCTACTGTATCTAAGCCGTAGTCAAAGTCTCTCTTTGTGAAACCGGCCCCTGGACTGGAGTGTGGATCGCCTGTGACTGACTGTCGACTGTATGCACCGAACCGTGACGGTTCGGGAAGAATGTACCGTTACACCCCTAGTAAGTAGTGTTCAATTTACTCTTTTCAATACAATTGTAATCAATACATTTTTTTTTTTTTTTTTTTAGTGATGAAGCGATCATAGCTGGTTAAAGAAGTCTATACGCCATTTTAGTTGTCCATCATTTTTTAGCAAAATAATCACGATTATCAGTTTAACCTGTGAAGGAGTAAAGCAGCTCACATTGGAGGATTTGTTGATGGTGATGGACAGATCATCAAGCTTTCCCTTCTTGCCGTGGAGTGACATCACTTCCTGTTCCGCCCGCTTTTTATCCTCCTCCACTTCCTGCAAAACATCACAAGGAAATCATATCATAAAGGGATTATGTTATGCATCTTAGCATTTTATGTTTTTGTAATAACATAATAGAATAATAAATTGAAAGCATAATAATTTAACAAAAATAGATGAATCCCACACACTGATCAACATTTTGGGTCACGTGACCTTCATCAGGCTTTGTTTTTCTATTTTCCATAGATTTATGATTTCATACTAAACAAGACTTCAAAAGATTTGTTTAAAATTAGATCTAAAATGTGTTTTTTGGCGTATTTTAATCAGGTTCTCACCTGGTACCGTTTCATTAGTGCTTCATTTTTCTTCCGCAAAGCCTCGATCTTTTTATCCAGCTCTGCATCCTTGTGCTCCTTCATCATCATCATCATCATCTCTGTCGAGCTCTGAGCACAGAACGGTTTATGAACATTACATACACAAACACAATAATCCAAACAATCTGTGAGACATAAAGATTATGTCTGCCAGCAAGATTTCTGTTATTTACTGCATCTCACATGAAAGTTAAAATCTTTATACACAAACAGCAAAATAATAGTTTTGCACATTTTTCTTGTCCAGACATTTAAACAGCCTGGAGGAAAAATAACAGAATTACATAAAGCAAATTCAATGGAATAGGGCTGCGTTTATATTACATAAATATCTGATGCCAGAGACCCAGGAGACACAGTCCAGGACTGAAATATAAACACAATGGCATATGATTAGTTATAATCAGTCAATTACTGTCTACATGTTTCTTTAACACGTGTACATTTGTGGGTCTAACTGCACATGGACACGCCATTATTAGCATCAGCTGCTACGACCGGCAACATGAGCTCCGCGCACTCAAACGCCTCATGCCATCAGCTGTTTCAAGACGTCTGACATTCACATGTGACCACGATTTCAAACGCTGTAGCTCAAAACTCAGCCATAACCCTCAGATATTGAGCACAAAACTGTTGGCAAGGATATTTCATTTCACAGCATTTGCCAGAATCTCAACTAATCATTTTGGTCGGGTTGCATGATTTGGGGGGAAAATCTAATAGCGATTCTTCAGATAAAAATAGCAAATGTGATTTAAAAATGCGATTTACATAAAATTCCAGGTTTGATTTGCTTGCTTGAGGGCTAATTTTGGCAAAATGTTATGATTATTTAAATATGGCTATAAAATTATAATCATTTTATAATTATTAATTATTATTATATAAAAACATTTACATACAAAATAAAAACAAAATAAGAAATATTACTAGTCCATAAAAAATAAGTTAAAATGTATAAAATAATTACATTATAAATGTAAACTTGCGATACTAATATTTATGCCTGTCTTCATTTTTTCATTAGCTATGTTTCCATTCAAAGTTGCGAATTTAACTTATGCGCAAACTTGGAATAGTATAATTGTCATCCCATATGTTCAAAAGAACAAAATCATCACTTCCTGGGAAATTGGCGCAAAACATCTGTAATATTTCTTATAAAAATGTAAGTTTCTGCAATCGGGCTGTTTTTCCCTCCATCATAAATGAGTGTCTCAGAGCGTTACACAGTACACAGTAAACGCTGTCATGTTCTCTTGCGTTCGGATGCTGGTGTTTGGGAACACAATTGTGTGAGACGCTTCTGGAGGGAATTACATAGAATGTACATTTCCAGAAGAAAATGTGAGTGGTGCTTGCAGTGGCAAAACTCACCACTCGGTTGCTAGAGTGTGGTACATGATTGCATACGAGCCAACAAACATGTCTGTACGATGTTCTGGTGCTGAGATATGACTTATTCATGTGTTCAGGTGGTTGCTAGGGTATTCGCTATGATGTTGCTGGGCGGTTGCTAAGGTGTTCTGGGTGGTTGTTAGGGTATTATATATTTACATAATACATTCTGAATTAAACCAAATCATTCTGATCACAGACTTTGACTCCGGCGTTTCAGAAACACCAAACCACTGTTTGAGAGGAGTCCAGGGAACGCAGTGTAAACTTTAGTTCCGACCACATTAGTTCCCAAGCCAAATAGAGGAGAGGATGATCATTTAAATTTGATAAGAAGGCACGCAACACTATTTATAGGCAAGATTTTCACACTAGAACGCTTGTTTTTCAGCGGGAATGCAAATTAGATTAGCACTTAACCATGAAGACAAAAGCCACACCACACAAATGGCTATGGTCAGTCTGCAAAAATAACGATCGAAATGCTTGTTTGCTTTGTGGCCCCTTTAAATAAAGTTTTAAAAAAGACCAAGCATTCGATCTACGTCAGAGCGTCCACGAATCTTTCCACGGCTTCGTCGGCAGGGCGGCGAGAGCGAATTGGCGGTGTGAATGCACAGTAACGTACAAGATATTGGTAAATGGTAAATGGACTGCATTTATATAGCGCTTTCACAGACCCAATGGCCACCAAAGCGCTTTACATTTGCCTCACATTCACTCACTCATTCATACACCGACGGGCGACGGCAGCCATGCAAGGCACCATCCAGCTCGTCGGGAGCAGCTGGGGTTAGGTGTCTTGCTCATGGACACCTCGACACTTGGTCAGGTGGAACCGGGGATTGAACCACCAACCTTCCGGTTTGTAGACAACCTACATGAACCACTGAGCCACTGCCGCCACATATTGAAGACATCGATATACTAACGATGAAGATCTTTCACGTTCTTCTTTGCTTAGAAGTAAAAAGAAGTTGGAAATACCTTTGCAGTGATTTAACGAACATCCAGACGCCGTCCACACTGCTGAGAGCGGCGCTTAGATGAATATGTAAATATGTGCTGCTCTTTCCTCTCAATAACAAAATAAACAACAACTAATGACAGCGGTGAGAAAACATCAGTTCAGAAAGCATCTGATCATAGTGATGTGTGGATGTTTGAACTGCATCATGTCGACAGATGAGGTCATTAAAATTACACTGTTATGATAGTTTAATTATAAAGAGCTTATTATATTGGAGACTATCGACTATATAGATCTGGCTTTGTGAGACTAAAGTCCCACAAAGTTTATCCAAAGCGACTTACATTGCATTTCAAGGTACACATTTTACATGCTCAGTTCTTGCTTTCCCTGGAAAACGAACCCATGACCTTGGTGTTGCAAGCGCCAACACTTTACTGTTTGAGCTACAGGAAAGTATTAACATGCTGAACTACTGGAGTTGCTTTAAATGGCTGCAGAGTTTGCAAAAAGGGCATTGGACGCGCCAGGGGAATGAAGACTTCACTGCACAGCAGAAGAGAAAACGCTTGTGTCATTCAGCATAGCGTCTCATTCCCTATGTCAGTGTTATACGACTGTAAACTCAGGCATCAAACGTCAAAATCTCTCAGTATCTGTGAATTTTTAGAGACATGAAAGCCTGAAAGCCAGAGCGCCTGCTTGCGGTGAGATAACCCGACTGACTCCAGGCCAGCGAGACTCCTACACAGAGTGAATTTGGATCTAAAGAGGCTTGCAGAGATTTGAGAGAGAATAGAGTCAGATCGCAGCTCAAAACAGAGATTCCTCGAGGTTGAAAGACGCTATTATCTCTCCAAACACAGGAAAACCTCTGCAAACCCACGAGCAGGACTGATCCTCTAATAAAAAGGCTAAATAATATCCTGGGTTGTCAGCTGTGTTTGTTAAAACAAGCATGACTTTACTAGTGCTCATAGTTACTGCATTCACAGGATCTACATGAGCAGCACATCAACAAAAGGGTAATTAAGTCACTTCACAGCACTAATAACTGAGGGTCGCTCACTGTCAATCTATTGGACGTCCTGTTGTTGGACATTCTGAGTCTAGGGTGCTCATATTTGAGTATGCAAACATTTTAGATGAGTATGGTACTGTTCATTATTATTCTTAATGAAAAACAGCAGATACGTTCAGTTTTTAATTGTAGTGTCTGTTCTCTAACTGAACTTAATGATTTTTATTACTAAAAAACAAATCTAAACCACGATGGGCAAGTGATGTAACCGGTGTTGCGTCTAGACACCGGTGACACGACTATCACAGCAAGCCTACCGACCAGCAATGCATCGCTGAGGTAACGCTGAAGCTGATGCTTCACTTCATAGAGATATATTGATTGAATGCCATTCATGGGAAATACCTTTAAACGTTGAAAGGATGATACGACAAAGATTTCCTCTTTGGACATGGCAAACTTATTTTTTATGACTTGACCTGAAGAAGGAAAGACGCAGGTAATCGCATGCACAATCTCTCTCTCACTCGCTGTCTGTTTAGACTTGTTTAGTACAAATCACAATGGCACACAGAGGGCCCTATCTTGCACCCGGCGCAAATGACTTTGTACACTGACGCATGTATCATTCCTATTTTGCACCCGCGCAAAGCGGGCTTTTCCCTCCACAGACGCACGTCGGTAAACTAGGGAATGAACTTGCGCTCCCTGGGCGGGTCGGCGCAAAAAGGAGGCGTGTTTCGGCGCAAACATTCCCTAGTGCTATTCTGCAGTTCCAGAAAACAATTCCACCACTGACCAAAAAAACCCAGTCTAAAGTCAGTGGTGCGTTGTTCATATAATGCTATTTTAAGCGCGCATGTTTGGCCATAATGTAGCGGGTGCACAACGCGCATACACTTAGATTCTCTCATCAACACAGATGGAGCCGTTTTTATTTTTGCAAATCATACATTATAACAAGGAAAAATATTAACACATGAGGGAAATCATTGTGGTGTCCATGAAGATGAAAAAAAAAGTAGGCCTAGTTTTTTCCTCCCACGCCTGTTTAACCGACGCTGATTTGGGTGGGTTTCTCCCATCCCCACAACGTCACTTCTCTGTCTTTCACTGCCCTGAAAAGAACGTCGGTCTCCTCGGCTGTGAACCGCTCCTGACGCGCGCCTAGTAAATCCGCCATAATAATAACAATCCGCCATGCAACATGCGCACCTGCTCTTAAAGGGTATGTTGGATGACGCTCTGATTGGTTTATTTCATGTTATGCCCAAACCACACCTAAGAATAATGAAGCTACTTCAGACCAACCCCTTTTAAACTTGCGTCGGGCGCAAGAGTCATTTATCCCGCCGGTAAAATAGCAACAGTGCCCAAGACACAAAGTTACTTGCGCTTCGCGCTTGATACTTGCGTTTCAGATCGTTAAAATAGGGCCCAGAGTCTTAAAGTAAGACTCATTTAGTATACGCGGTTCTATGAATATGTAAATGAGCCCCGCCTCCACTCACTCACTCAGCTCAGAGATCCACTGGTTGACGATCACACGTTGATCTGATTGGTTACAAGGTCGTTTGTGACGTCAGAAACACCAGCGATTTCAAACCGTGTTTTTGAGACTGTCTTTGGTTCACTGCAGTTTTAAGCAGGAAATACTCAGCAATGCTGTCGACTTAT